GACCCTATCTCAGAAAAAAAAAAGAAGAAGAAAAAAAGAAAAAAGAGTCTGTTGTTTCTGCCTTCTAGTCTGTGATTTTTTCTAGTAGAGCAGCCTAGACAGAGGAAGCTGTCCCCTGTGTTCCTTGGCTCATGGTCCTGCTTCTTCTGTCACAGCTCACAGACTTAAATTTTTTTACTTATAAGGACTATTGTGGTAGCATTTTGCCTGCAAAGATAATTTAAAATGGTCCCCTGTCTCAAGTCCCTTAACTGATTATATTTTTGAAGTCCTTTTGCCACTCAAGGTGACATATTCTTGGGGTCTGGTGCTCAGGACATGGTAATTTTTGGAGATCCATTATCCTACTAATCATAGACAAATACTTTATTTCTCTCTCTCTCTCTCTCTGTCTGACATAGTCTCACTATGTAGTTCAAGCTGGCCTTGAAATGACTATGTAACCCAGTCTGACCTCAAATTCTTAGCAATCCTCCTGCCTCCCTAGTATTGGGATAACAGGCATGCACCACCACACCTGGCTGAACACTATAACTGTCAATAAATTGATTGGTTTTTTCCCTCAGCCCTGAGTAGCAGGGCTTACAAGCATGTACCACCTCATCTGGCTTCATCTCTTTTAAAAGAAATAATTCTATTTCTTTTTTAATGATTATATTTCTAGTTGCTAAAAATAACATGGTAGTTTAAGAAACTTCATTTTTTTTTTTTGTCTTTTTCCTTTTTTTAATCGGTACCAGGGATCGAACTCACGACTGCCTGTTTGCAAGGCAGGCGCTTATGCCACTGAGCTAAATCCCCAGCCCTAGAAATTTCATTTTTTAGCAGTGCATTTTGAAGTATGTAGAAGTGAGATGTTTTAAGTCTCAAATTTGCTTTAAAATAATTTAGGAGAACTGGCAGGTGGTATATGAGTGTCCTCCCAACACTTGAGAGGCTGAGGTAGGAGGATCACTGGAAGTTCGAGGAGAGCCTGAGCTATACACGAATCCCTGTCTTACCCCCATCAAAGTTTTTAAAAATTTAAAAAGAGAGAGAAGGAAATAAGTGAGTCAGTTTGAATATGGACAATGTATATTTGGTGATGAAAAAAGATACCAAAGGACACATGATTTGAGTCCTGCTAAAGAGAAAGGGGTAATCTGAGTAAAGGGGACTAAGTAGGGAATGGAATGTTTTTCTAATCCGAGAGAAGCAATGTATCAATCATTTTAAAAAGTTTTTTTGTTTGTTTGTTCTGGAGATTGAACTCACGACCTCACGCTTGCCAGGCAGGCGCTTATGCTGCTGAGCTACATCTCCAAAACTCATTTAAAATGTTTTGATAATGTTGTTTTGACATGTTGGGACCTTAAGAAACCAGGGAAAGATTGTATTTCCCAGAATTAGCAAATTCTTTTTGTATGTGTGGTGCTGGGGACTGAACCTAGGACCTTGCTCATAGTAGCCAAGTACTTGACCGCTTAACTACATCCCCAGCCCAGCAAATTTTCAGAGATGGTAAAGGATTCACTTGAGAGCATGTGTTCAATATGCAAAGCTACCAGTCCTACAGTCAGGGACATCACCCTCTGACCTGATCCATTCTGTGTCCGAGAATTACACAGGTAGGGTCCACACTGAGAGTTCAGGGGCCTCGGAGTTAATTATTCATACTGTCCAATCCTTAACGTGTTCAGTGTGCTTTTGCTTCTTGCTTGTTCCTTGTGGTGGAAACTGCACTAAAGGATTTTGCTCAAGCTTTGTAGTCCCTGGGTTATTGTCCTAATATTAGTGCCCATCATGGACCACCATTCCTCTTGTACCTAGGGAACTGTGAGTGTGAAACTTTCTTTCACAAAAATCATTACTATGGGTGTCTGAGCAAATGAATCCTGCTACATTTTTAGACAAGCATTCCCTTTCTACAGCAAAACATTAAGTCAGAGAAATTCTCTAGAACATAGGTTCGATGAGGAAATAGTTTTTTCTAGCTTTTCACAACTTGAAGTAAAATAGACAAACCACACACCCTGCCATGGACATAGTCGGCGGGTGGAGGCTGCAGTGAGTGTCCTGTCACTGGCTGAGAAGTTGGACAATGAGATGCAGAGGCAGAACATTTGGCAAAGTTGCTGCCCAAGGTTACTCAGCAACAGACCATGTGCCTATAGAGGTGGTAGTCCCGGAGCAAAGGAAAAGAAGTAGAAATGTAATGTGACTTTTTTTTTTTTTTCTTTTTGAGGCAGGGTCTCACTATGTAGCCCAGGCTGGCCTTGAATTCACTTTGTAATCCAGACTGGTCTCAAACTCACAGTGATCCTTCTGCCTCAGCATCCTGAGTGCTGGGATTACGGGTATGCACCACCATATCTGGTTGTAGTATGATTATCTTTAACAGTGTTTGGCAAGATGTTATGAGAAAGAGGTGAGATCAGGACAGAATTCATGGGCTTTTAAGTAGAAATAAAAGGGAATGGAATACTGTTACAGCTGTGTCTAGATGTCCTCCCAAAGCCCCATGCAGTCATAGGTGGGGCTTTTCCAGATGGGGCTGATCTACCATGTGTGATGTGGGATTGATTCCTAGTGCCATGCCAGGCTCAAGGGCACTAGGATTGAGGAGCTTGGCTAAGACACAAGGAGCTGGAGGAGTTGTGGTCATCCCTTGTTGCATTGTTTCCTTGTGCCCACCATGAACTCTTCTCCTCTGCAGTGCCCCACTGCGTGTGCCACCCTGCCTTGGAGTCATTCAATTATGGACTGAAATCTCTTTAAACTTTGGGTGTCAGGTATTTTGTCTCAGCAACAGAAAAGTAACTAAGACAAATATAAAAGTGCTGACTGCTTCTACAGCATAAGGTAGGATTTGAGCAAAAGACCCTCAAAGGCCCATAGAGATACCAGTCAATGGTGGAATTTAGGTCACAGGAGCATACCTTGAAGGGGACAGAGGGTCACTGGCCTCCTCGCTTCCTTCCTCTTCCTCATGCAGCCTCCCCCACCATCTGCTCTCTACTGTAATATACTGCCGCGCCACAGCCTCCAAATGACCAGGTGGACATGGGCTGACAGCTCCAAAGCAGTCAGCCCAAATAAAACTTTTTTTCTTTCGTTTCATTCTGTGGTTTTTTAGTGTTTCCGTGAATTGAACCAAGGAGTCTGAACTACATCCCTGACTCCTTATTTTGACCTGGGTCGCACTAAATTGCTCAGGCTAGGTTCAAACAGTTCAGCATACAGTTCAGCTAACCATGGTGGCATACCCCTGTGATCCTACTACATCAGCCTCCAGGAGACTGAGATTACAGGAGTGTGCAACTCTCTTTATATCTTGATTTCTCAGATATGTTGTTAAAATACTTGAAAGTTCAGTAAAACAGAGAGCTATCATGTTACTAGGGATAGAAAGTTTTCAGTTCCATTATAGCCTTACAGGCGCACTGTCACCTGTGGGGCCAGTGACCAATATGGAGAACATACCCGAAATTCATATTAAACACGCTATGAATAAGATACATTCAAAGGAAAAATTATTGAGACAAAAAGTAAATTAAAAATTCAGACCAGGGGCCAAGGATATAGCTCAGTGGCATAGCGCCTGCCTGGCAAGTATGAGGTTGTGAGTTCAATCCCTGGTACCAAAAATAAAAAATAAATCCAAACCAAAAGATGATTTTTATTTTCCTAATTAACATTAAAAAGCTCTTATATTTGCCTATTGGGGTTAAAATGCTGTTACTAGAATCTACTTATAGTTTTTTTTTTTTTTGAGACAGGATCTTGCTGTGTAATTCAGGCTAGATTTGAACTCACTATGTAGCTCAAGCTGGACTTGAACTCACAGTGATGTTTCTGCCTCAGCCTTTTACCTTACTCTGCTTAATTGCTATTGAATTTGAATTCATTTTGTGTATAGTCATTTTAAAGCATACAGTTCAGCTAACCATGGTGGCATACCCCTGTGATCCTAGCTCTTCAAAGGCTGAAGAAGGAGGATCTCAAGTTTGAGACCAGCTTGGCTACACAGTAAATTCAAGGCTGGACTGGACTACATAGTGAGACTGTCTCAAAAAACCAAAACAGAACAAAAATATTTTAGAGGAGCCAGGGATGTAGCTCAGTGGCAAGGTGCCTGCCTGGCAAGCGCAAGGTCATGAGTTTGATCCTCGGTACCAGAAAAAAAAAAAAAGTATTTTAGTGTGGTTAAGTTTGGCTTATTTATTAAAACAAATCTTTCTCTTACAGAGTCAGGGGGGAACTTTTTTTGTAAATTAAGTAGATCATAATCAGCATCAAGAAGAAAATCGATTCTTGTGATTTTATGACTGTGTAACAGATGTTCAGTGTGTTACAATAATTGTTTTTCAATTCTTGTTGACACTGTATGTCTAGGATGTGTCCCAGGAAGGGGCTGGCTCATTATAGCAACTCAGGTATAGGGAAATGATAGTCACCATTTCCAGACATGGCAGGAATACAGTTGCAGAGGGCTTCTTGGTGCTGATGATTCCACATTTTGTTACAGGCTCTTTCGTAAATTCTATTGGTTACAACACAATGGACAGTGCTAGGACAGAGAAGCAGGGAAGAGTCATCTTACTTGTGTTTGGAAAGCTGAGAGTACAAAATATTTGGTGGCAGTGCTTGTAACTGTGTGCCCTCATGACCATTCAATACTTTGTTCACTTATTCTCCTTGCTGCAGGCAAGGAGATGGTCTCACCATCTTCCTAGGGAAACAGGCCACGTGCCATGCCACGACAGTTTCAGATGAGAACCCAGGATTTCTGGTTGATGCCAGGAGTCTGCACGAGCCAGCCATGGGGCAGTGTTGTTGGGTCATACAGACCTGAGCATCCTACAATCGAGAGCCACGTTTTTTGCACGGACACTCAGAATGCATGGGTGGAAGGGGGACAGATCAATCACAACAAAGTGGCCTTGAGGGATTCAGTTTTCTAACACATGAACTTTTGGGGGATACATTCAAACCATAGTGATGTGATATCAGATTCTACATTTCATTTATTTCCTTTATTTTAAAGCGAATAAAACTTAACAAAACAGAGTAAAGCCAATCAAAACAAGGCAGTGAACATGGTATAGAACTTCAAAACAGCATAATAGGAAATCAACAGTGGTTACCATAGTATATCTTTCTTTTTGGTACTAGGGATCAAACTCATGACTTCACACTTGCCAGGTAGGTGCTTATGCCACTGAGCTAAATCCCAGGTCCTATCATAGTATATCTTATTATCTTCACAATACTTGTCCATTCCATGAGACACAGTAAAATCAAACAGAATAAAAATAATCAAGCAGAACACTGAATAAATTGAAACAAAACAGTGAAATCAATATTGGATTTCAAAAACAAGACAGAAGGAAATTCTCTATATTTTCTATATTGCATACTATTATCCTACTAGTAGATGCTCAAGACTACTGGCCCCAGGCCTGCAAAGTCAATCAAACAATACAAGCAGTCAGTTATTTTTTGTACCTTGATTGCTATTAACTCAGTCTGTCCTCTCAAGGAGCCAGGTGCTTACGGGGCAGGAGTGTGGAAGTTCTCAATTCTCAGTCCTCTGGCCAGTCATCTCACGGGGAGGGCAAACTGGCTTCTCTCTTCCTGGGCCCTGCATGGTTTATACAGATTCTACATTTCACTTAGGAGATGAGGGCTGGAGATTGGTTATTGGTAGAGCACTTGACTAATATATGAGGCCTGCTTTTCTGTTTTTTTTTTTTTTCTGAGACAGGGTCTTGGTATACAGTTCAGGCTGGCCTCGAACTCCCTATATAGCCCAAATTGGCCTCTCAAACTTGCCACAATCTTAATGCCTCAGCCTCCTGTATAAGGCTCTGTTGGTCCCCAGCCCTAGGAAAAAAAAGGAAAGATAGAAGTGAGCCAGTCATGATTGTGCATACCTGTAGTCTCAGCTGCTAGTGAGACTGAGGCAGGAGGATCAGTACAGCAGATGAATTCAAGACCATTCTGGGTAATAGATTCCTATCTCAAACAGAAAAAAAAAAAACCTCCAAAAAACAAACAATACAAATTCACAAGCTGATGAATACACCTGTAATCTCAGCATTTAGGAGGCTGAGGCAGGAGGACTGCTTTGAGTTTAAAGCCAGCCAGGGCTACAGAGCAAGACTCTGTCTCAAAAAACAAACAAATAATAGAAACTAAAGTCATCAAACATTACAAAAGTAAAAAACTATCACATGTTGAGTTTGGATGAACTATCCAAAAAAAAAAAAAAAAAAAGGCACATTTACCTGAAAAGACTATTATCACTCCAAATTCTTATCTGTAGAAGACTGGGTTTATATTTTTCGATCAATTGTAACCAACATGGTAACAACTGGATGAAGCAGCAAATATAACCACTCTGCAGTCTCCTGTTGAAGCAGGCAAGAAAGAGACTAAAGACCCTTGCAAAAAATGAAAAACAAGGGCTGGGGATTTAGCTCAGTGGCATAAATGCCAGCCTGGCAAGCACAAAGTCATGAGTTTGAACTCCAGTAGTAAAAGAAAAGAAAAGCATTCTGTTTTTGGGGGTCACATCTCATAAAAATGTTATTTACAATTACTGGGCTAAAGATTTAGGTCAGCAGCATAAGTGCCTACCTTGCAGGCGCAAGGTTATGAGTTTAATCCCTGGTACCAAACAAACAACAAAAAAGTACTTACTGTTTTTCTTTTTCCTCTTTATCGGTACCGGGGATCAAACTCACGACTGTCTGCTTCCAAGGCAGGCGCTTATGCCACTGAGCTAAACCTCCAGCCCCAAGACTTACTGGTTTTTTTTTTTTTTTTAAATCGGTACTGGGGATCCAACTCACGACCACCTGCTTGCAAGGCAGGCACTTAAGCCACTGAGCTAAATTCCCAGCCCCCAACTTACTGTTTTTCAAAGAATTAATATTTTACAACTTTACATTTGCCATTGTGATAGATACACATAAATGAAATTTGAGTCTTTGGTGATTTTTAAAGGAGTCCTGGGGCCAAAATGTTTAAGAACTGCTGCTCTAGCTCACTTCACCTTACCCTTTGAATTTCAATTTAGATGTCATTTTCTCTTGGAAGACTTAATTGAGCGTCCAGCTTAAATGTTGGGTGTCCTGTAGGTATTGTTAAAAATACCCTACACTTCACTTATCGTGATCAGCTCTTCTTAGGATCATTGTGTTTCTGGTTTGCTGTTTATTTATTATTATTTCTCTTGGTGCCAGGAATTAGACTCACAACCTAGTGCTTGCAAGGCAGGCGCTGGGCCACTGAGCTACATCCCTGGCCCTGATGTTTATTTTTTTTGAGACAGGATCTTGCTATGTATTTAGGTTGGCCTTGAACTCACTATGCAGCCCAGGCTAGCCTCAAACTCACATCAATCCTTCTACCTCAGCCTCCGAAGTACTAGGATTACAGGCATATATCACATATCTGCGAAATTCACTTCTTTAAAATGGACAAACTTTAGGTTTTTTTTCCCCCTTTTGAGGTAGGATTTCACTATGCAGTGCAGGCTGGTTTTGAACTCTTGAACTCTGTAGCCCAGGCTGGCCTTGAACTCACAGGAACCCTCCTGCCTTGGCCTCCTGAGTGCTGGGGTACCACTATGCCTGGCCTAAACTTTATTAGTATACTCACAGAGCTGTGGGACTATCAGCACACTCAACATTGAAGCACTTTTGTCATCCTGAAAGAAACCCGTTATCTATTCGCAGTCACTACCTATAGTTTCCCTAATTCTCAGCCCTGGAAGAGGTGGTACAGACACCTGCTAGCTATCTTTATGTCTTAATTATTGTCATATTGTAAAATCATACTTTGCAGTTGCCTTTTTCTACTTGGCATGATGATTTCAAAGTTCACCTTTACTGTATGATGCACGAACACTTCATTCTATTTTTTTTTTTTTTTTGAGACAAGGTCTCACTATGTAGTGCAGTTTGAACTCACAGCGATCCTTCTACCTCTGCTTTCCTCAGTTCTGAGAGCTGTGATTACAGACATGCATCACCACACAGCTTTCATTCTTTTTACAGCTTAATGCTTTATTGTATGGATATATCATAGTTCATTAATTTATCATGAACAATTGTACTGTTTCCTCTCTTTTGTTACTATGAATAATGCCACCATGAACATGTGCATGCATGTGTTGGCACAGATACATTTTCAATTCTCTTGGTTATTTAGCTGGGACTAGAGTTGCTGAGTCATATGACTATTTTAGCTTGAGGAACTGCTAGCCTGTTTCCTAAACCATTATTTATATTGCCACTACCAGTATAAGGGTTCCAATTTCCCTGTATCCTCATCAACAATTACTATCTTTTCTCTAAGAGCCATCTTAGTGGGTTACACTACTATATTCTTGTCATTTTAACTTTGCCTTTCTCTGTAGACTACTGAAGTTGGATTTAATGTCCAATTGTATATACCCACTGGAAAAATGTTTATTCAAATCTATTATCCATTTTTAAATTTTTTTTGTAAAATTATAGTATTCCTTTACATTCTAAGTAGTTCCTCATCAAATATTACTTGGAAATATTTTCCTTTATACATTAGAGTTATCTTTTGAACACTAGAGACAAGCTTAAAGTTTTTTTTTTTTCGGTACCGGGGATCGAATTCATGACTGCGTGCTTACAAGGCAGGCACTTATGCCGCTGAGCTAAATACCCAGCCCCAAGCTTAAAGTTTTGATGCCCATTTTTCAATTTTTTCTTTTTTGAGACAGGGTCTCCCTATGACCCTGAACTCATTAGCCTTGAACCCACTATGGAGCCCAGGTTGACCTTGAATCGACCCTCCTGCCTCAGCCTGGAGTGCCACCAGGCCAGGCCACTTTTTTAATTTTTCACAGGCTGCTTGTCCTTTTGGTTTAATACCTAAGAAGCTATCATCTCATTCACGTCATGAAGATATGTTGTGATTTCTCTTGAGTTTCATAACTTACAATATGCTTTTGATCTATTTTAGGTTAATTTTGTGTATCATGGAGGTAGAAACCCAACTTCACTTTTGCATGTAGACATCCAGTTTTCTCAATACTTGATAGAACTGTGGTACTAATTATTGATAAAACTTTTTTTTTTTGGTTTTTGTATCATTAATCAAATTCAGGACTTTGCCCTTACCACTCAAGCGCTTGTGCCACTGGGCTATATTCCCGGCTCAACACTGCTTTCAAGACGGAATATTCCTGGTATTCTGGTTAATGTAAATGTAAGCGTTTATCGACTTATTTCTGCATTCTGAACGACTGCATTTGTCCAGATCCTTCTTGCCCATGCTTGCGCCAGTAGGGCCAGTGGGTCTAAAAGGCTCTTGGAACATCTTTTAATCCAAATCCACCATTCCAGAGTTGGCTAACACCTTCCCCCTCCGACTCTCAACCCTGGGCAGCATCCTTCAGCCGGTGGTCTTGGCCGTCGCGTCTGGGGGGCGCGTTTTCTGTAGTGCTCCAGTCCACATCGCAGACAGCAGGGAGCGGGCGGTTAACCGAAACGCTGGTTCCAGCGGAAGAAAGGCGAGCGGTCCGACGCAGGCCGAAAGGGCTAAACCAGGCGGGAGGAAACAAAGAAGCACCGTGGCTGACTCAAACAAGCGAGGCGTGCAAAGCAAGAAGCCAGACAGCCGACAGGAAACAGCCCACAATGGGGCAGCACAGCCTTGGTGCGGGCCTCGGCTGCGCACGCGCAGACCGCCGCCGCTCCCTTCCCCGCCCACCTCACACGTCGCCCCGCCCTGCGCGCAGCGGAAGTGACGCGAAGCGTAGCGGAAGTTGCTGCGGCCGCGGTGTTGTGCTGTGGGGCCGGGAGGCAGGGTTGTAAACGCCGGAACGCGCGAGGTTCTGCCGCCCCGAGGCCGCTGCTGCGCGGAGACCCGGGGAAGCCACCGCCACCATGTCTGACCAGGTACTGGTTTGTAGCTGTCGGCGTGTGCGGCGAGGATTGCGGTCCGCTGCCCTCCTGCCCTCGGCCAGGGCCAGGAAGGAGGCCACGGGAGGGGCGCGCGGCCTGGGAAGGGGGCGGCGGCGGGCTAGGAAGGGCCGGGCGGTGAAGTCGGCGCGGCAGGAGCAACTCGAGGGGACCCCGGCCTTCACGCCGTGAGCCGCGTGCCTGCCCCCTCCCCAGGCCAGCCGTCGCTCCGTCATCCTGGCCCAGCGTCCCGTTCGTGGCGGCCGCCCTCATGCGGTCCCCTTTTTTCTCCCGGGTCGCCTCGCTTGCGCCTCCTCAAAGGACCCGGGGAAACCTTTCGCCTCTCCGTGGAGGACTGAGCGCAGAAACAGAGCCCTGGGCCTGGTTATGTAACGGGACAGAGCCGCGGCCCGGAAGCCCCGTGGCCCTCCAGCGCGCCTGGACCCCGCTTTGCAGGTCTTCGCAAGGTGGGGGTAGAGGGAGGCGACGCCGGCTGCGCGCTGCTGGCCTCGGGGAGCAGCCTGGGCCCGGCCGCCCGCCGGCCCGGTAAGCGCGGTGCTGTCGCCCCCTTTCTCTAGTTTGTGGTTCCTTACTCAGGATTGGTTCATCAACTCTCCAGTTGTAGGAGAGCACCCGGAATAAGCGAGAAAGAAAGTAGAACGAAACTGTTGGATTAACAAAGCAGTGTTGCAAGCCGGAGACGCCCGGGACTGTGCTTTTGAGGAAAAAGATAGGAAAAGCAGTTGCAAGTAGAGCAGTTGCGGAACGTCTGCGGATGCTTCCTCATCTCGGCGTCAAATTTAACTTGCTTGGGACTTGTGTCGGTCAGGACCGATGGATTTTTCGCTTAAGTTTTCCGCATTTTGTTGTAGTTCACTACATTTATGGGTAGTTTTTTTTTTTTTTTGGTCTTTTTCCTTTTTATCGGTACCAGGGATCGAACTCACGACTGCCTCTTGTAAGGCAGGCGCTTATGCCACTGAGCTAAACCTCCAGCCCCTAGGGTAGTTTTTAATTAAAAATTTTTGTCCGGTCTTTTGTTTGCTCATACGATTTTTAAATTTTTACAATAGTTTTGGACCTTTTACTTGTTCAGTAATTGTTACTCAGGAAGTTGTTTTTCATTCAACTCTAGGATGTACTTGAGCTTTTAAATTTAACACACTTATTCCCCTGGCTTTTAACCCAGTTTTGTACCACTTCGGGAGAGCAAGTGAGGTACTTTTGTGGATTTCTATTGTACAGAATGTACACTCATTTTAAAAATTTATCGTAATCTAAATTAGTTTTGGGTGAATTTACTTACCAGTAATCTAGGTTAAGCACCGAGTTAGTATGGGAATGGTATCATAAGTGTCTTCCCTAGACAGTTATTTTCTTTGGTTACCAGAGAGGAAAGAAAAGCTGTAAATGCTTAGTTGTATTAGCGTTTTATTTTGATGTTCAAAAGTAGCTACCGCATGTTGACATGTATTTATGAAAGCTTGGTGAAAGAGCAATCTCTAGAATTAGGAAATAAGCTGTAGGATTATTTTTGTGTCAAGGGAGTCTCAGAGGTCAGAGCTATTCATAATATGTTAATATTAGGTTGGTCCCAGAAGATAAACTTGGAGTGATGTATTTTCTTTCTTTCTTTCTTTTTTAATCGGTACCAGAGATGGAACTCACTACCACCTGCTTGCAAGGCAGGTGCTTATGCCGCTGAGCTAAATCCCCAGCCCAGAGTGATGTATTTTCAGAGGCTAGTCTCAGAAGTGTATTGTCTGTTTTTTTTTTTTTTTTTTTTTTGAGATAGGGTCTCTGCAGTTCAGGCTGGCCTTGAGCTCACTTTGTAGCTTAGGCTTTTCTCAAACTCGCAAGATACTTCTGCCTCAGCCTCCCGAGTGCTGGGTAGTATATTGTCTGTTGCATACTAATTTCGCTTTAAAATGAGTGAACCTTAGGTTCACAGGAATTTTAAATGCTAATTCACCATTGACTTATTTTTGGAGTTTGAGTGAAAGAAACACTGTACAGTTTTAACAGTCTCAGCATTATCTAGTGGGTTTGTGCACCGTTATTATCTAAAACAGGTTCTTATCCTAAAGCCCGTGGAGCCTGAGGGTTAAAGACCTAGATGAGATCTAGAGAGCTTGTGTGGAATGTTTTGTGAGAGTTTGCAGGGTTATTTTTGTGGGCTATTTAGTGGGAAGCATAGTTTTTGTTGAGGTACATGGTCCTCCCAGAAAAGTTAAAGCTCATTATTTAGCCCTTTGATCTCCTTTAGGATAAACTCTGAGATAAACTCTTAGGTTTATCTTCTGGGAATAGTGATTAAGCCTCATGTTGCTGATATTACAGTCATTTGGGATTCTTGCTCTCACTTGTGAGCTTCTCAAAGGTAAGGATTCGGCTTCTTATCTCTTAAATCTTAAGCACTCAACCTTAAATTTGTTCTGGACCCCAGTAAGTATTAATAATGGTGCTGCTCAATCAGCCTAGTTCACTTTATACAAAACAAAGCCCTTGATACCAAACAGGTAAGGGTCATCTGCACAAATGTTTTCATTTTTCCTCTTTTTTAGTTCATACTGTTCCTTTTAAATACCACATTATCAAAGTCTATTTGGATCACAACTTTTAGATTTAGGTCTGTTAACTGTAGGACATGAATGACTGATTTGCTTCACTCTTACCTGCATCTGTGATGATGAGGTTCCTTTAACCCACCTGCATTCTGGAGAGATTGGTTTTTGTCAGGGATTTGGAAGCATTATGTAATTCTAGTTATCCGTTGCACACTAACATCAAAATTTCATGGCCAGGACCAGCAGTCTTTTGCTTTGCTCACAACTGCAGTTTGGGCAGGGCTCTGTGGCTAGACTCAGTTCCACAGTGGTGAGAGGACCAGAGCTGAGTTTACTTAGATGAATGGCTCTTGAGCAGCTGGGGTTGGGGCGGTGAGGAAGACTGGTTCTTCATCTTCCCAGGCTGAGTGATCTCTGGCTGGAGACCCCAGGGTGTTCAGGATTATGACACCTCAGGGTTCACCATCCATCCTAGAAGTGACAGGATTGATAGGATCTAGCCTTGGGCATCTCTGTTTTATTCTGTGGGTCAGTCAAATCCCTGAGTCCAGCCAGGACTCCAGTAGAAGACATTTAGACTTTTTTTTAATAGTAGGAGTAATCAGAATTTGCAGTTTTCTTTTAATCTGCTCCTTAATGTTTCTTCTGTCACTGTTGGTCCCTGCATTTTTCTATATAGCTTCCTGTGGTTGATGTTTACTGATTTTAGTTACTTAGCTTGGGGTTGCAAGAGAATATGAAGAACTGTGTGTTAAAATTCATACTTATGTATCCTATTTGTGTGGTAGACCCAGTATGTTAAACTGTTACTATTCCTTGAGCATGCAGTGATGTGCACCTTAGGTCTCCTATGTCCTAGGAGAATAGTGATTTATAGTGAGGTGCTACTAGTGGATTTTACAAGCAGATTATAATAAAACACTTAAAAGAAAGTATTAAAAAATAAAATAAGACCAAGTCTCAAAAAAATAAGTGCTGGGGATGTCACTAGGTGAGAATACCAGGCGGGGTTCAATTGTGGATATATTTGTTTGTGAGTCCTACTTTGAAAGCAATGTGACTGTATCTTTGTGGTTAGAGAACTCATTAAGGTTAGTTGAGTAGTTCACATTTCAAAATAATACAACATTTTTCAAGTATATCATGATACATTTTAGCTCCTCATAGCAGTTAGGATGTTGCTATTGTGGGTAACATACTTGGTATTATAGCTATTTACATTATAAATATCTTTCTTCATTAGACTTTTTTTTCTTGTACTGGGTAAAACGAATGAAGAGGAGGAATGGCTCCTGAGACAGGAAGGGTCCCAAGTGGGTTGCCTGACTGATTTTTGAGAGATGGGTCATCTTATTTTTCTTTTCCCTGTAGTGTCCAGCCTGTCGACTGGAAATAGCTGTTTAAAAGGGTTTTGTTTTCAAAGGAGTGGTTAGTCAGACATAGTCATTGAATTAATATTAAGTGGCTGCGATCTTGGCACCATTTTAGGTCTAGAATTAGAAGTTTGCCTAAAAAATGTGAACTGGCAAGGATCTTTCTCTTCTTTCTGTCCTCAGTTATGTTTTGTTACTGAGAAAAGGTTTATTGCTGTGGAAGTTTTTCTTTTATGATATTTTTACATACTTTCTAGATCTTCGCTTTTCTTAATAGTACACCTGGTAACTCTTATGTCCAAGATGAATTATTTACTTTTCCTGTGGCATTGAGGTGGTTGTAAATAATTTTTCTTGACATCTTTAGCATAGCAGCATATCAGTTTCCTGCAATTGTGAGTTACTTATTTATATATTCTTCTGGTACTGAACTTCAAACCTAGGGGCATTCTACCACTGAATTACATCCCCAACCCTTTTTATTTTTCATTTTGCCAAGTTGCCCCCTTGGGACTCGGAATTGAGGTCCTCCTGTTTCAGCCTCCCAAGTGCAGGTGTGCACCATTGTGCCTGGCTAATGATTTTTTTAAAATAGGAAACTTATTAGTTTTGTGTTTTTGAGATAGTCCTTTTTTAGACCAGTTCTCTTTCTAGACCCAGCCATCTATTTCCAAGCTGTTCTATCTTGGAAATCAGAATTGGTAGTATACTTATTAAATTCCTTTAATAAGTTACTTAGCTTGGGGTTGCAAGAGAATATGAAGAACTGTGTTTTAAAATTCATACTTATGTATCCTATTTGTGTGGTAGACCCAGTATGTTAAACTGTGCACTTTGCTAAGGAGGTCATCTCTGGTTTACTGAGACCTAAATTCTTGGAGGTTTTCAGTTCTCTCTCTCTCTCTCTCTCTCTCTCTCTCTCTCTCTCTCTCTCAATAGAGTCTCACTTTGTAGTGCAGGCTGGCCTTGAACTATTTAGCCTAGGCTGGCCTCCAACTTGGGACTGTCTTGCCTCAGTCTCCTGATTCCTGGGGTTATATGTGTGTGCAACCACATT